ATCACCAGACTTGATATGGCTGAGAAAAGACACTTCAATAGAAACTTCCCAAACTGAAATGCAAAGAGAAAAAAGAATTGGAACGAAAGAAAAGAAAAAAAGAGAATAAAGCAGAAGAAACATTTGAAAGCAATGAATGACCAAGAGTTTTCCATAATCATTGACAGACACCAAACCACACATCTAAGACCATGCCTTGCAGGGCAGGTGTACTGACAATACATTCCCTCGGTTTTTGTTTGAGGAAGTATTTATTTTTCCTTTACTTTAGATATTTTTCATGTGAAATTCTAGGTTGCTGGGTTTTCCCCTCACCATTAACACTTTAAATACTACACTCTACTTTCTTCCTGCTTGCATCGTTTATTAAAAGAAAGAATGTTAAAAGAAGTACTTTGGGGAGAAGAAAATAGATCAGAAACTGAGATCTACATGAGGAAAAGGAGAAGGAATAAATGAAGGTAAAATATTTTATACTGCTTAATTGATCTAAAAGATAACTGTGTATTTAAAGAAATAACAGTAAATTTCATGTAGTTAAGTGAAATGAAGGATAACAGTGTCACACGGGACAGGAAGGAGAAAATTAGGAATGCTCTGTTCTAAGGTACCTGCATTATGCATGGAGCAGTATAGTGTTATCTGAAGGTGGATTTAAATGAGTTTTAAATGTATAGTGCAACCACTAAAATGTATAGGGCAACCAGTAAAAACATTTTTTAAAGAAGTGTAATATGCTACCAGAGGAGATAAATGGAATCATATAAAATACTCAGTTAAAATCAAAAGGCAAATAAGAGAGAAAGAAAATAAAAATAAAGAATAAGCCAATGAATAGAAAATAGTCATGAACAAGGTAGTTATTAACCCAACTAAATTAATCATCCTTTCAAGTGTAAATGTGGTAATGGTCTACGTATACTGATTAGAAGACAGATTGTCTGAGTGGGTTAAAAAAAATAAGACCTAACTGTGTGTTGTCTACAAGAAACCCACTTCAAAAGAATAGGCAAAATATTTAATATTCAGAAAAGAAAAAAGCTAAGTGAATGGCTAATAAGCACATGAAAGGGTACACATCACCAGTCCTTAGGTCAAGACAAATTAAAACTATAATGAGAAACTACTAGCCATTCTAGTTACACCCACTAGAATGGCTAACAATAAAGTGTTGGCAAGGATGTGGGGCAACATGAACTCTAATACAAAGTTGGTCAGAGTGTAAAGTGGTGTAACATTTTGTGAAATAATCAAGTTAAACATACACATAGACATCCAATTTTACTCCGAGGCATGGTGTACAATGAAACACACATCTACTTAAAGATATACACAAATGTTTATAGTAGCTTTATTCATAATAGCTCAAATCTGAAAAGAACCCAAGTGTCCATCAACATGAGAATGGATTTTTAAATATTGTGATAAATTCACACAATGGAATACTTTCAGAAAATAAGAACAAACTACTGATACTGGCAACATGGATAAATCTAAATATTCATTTTGCTGAGTAAAAGCCAGATGTCAAAGAGCTTATGCTGTATATTTGAAGGGTGAATATTTTATTCCATTTATATGAAGCTCAGAAACACACAAAATTAATCTATGATGACAGAAATCAAAAGAGTTGCCTAGACTGGGTTTGGAAAAGGGCAACAGGAAACTTTTTGGAATGATGTTCTATTGTCTTGATTTGGGAGTAAGGAAACAGAGGGAAATGGGTTTGCCAAAATTTACTGCACTGTACTCTTAAAACCTGGGCTTTTCACTCTATGTAAATTACACCTCAGTTGAAAAGAAAAAAGATTTCTGGCAAAGGCCTTCTATATTTTCTGTAGTTCAAGCACAGCAAGCAGTGGACAAACTTCTTCCGCAAATGGTCAGAAAGTAAGTATTTTAGACTTTGCAGTCATATGGTCCCTGCTATAACCCCTCTGTCATTGTATTGTCAAAGCAGCCAGACAATATGGAAACAAAAGAGCATGACTGTGTTTCAATAATACTATTTACAAAAAAACAGGTGGCAAGCTGGATTTGGTCCACAGACTGTAGTTTGCTAACTTCTAATGGAGCAAATAGAAAATCAAACTTCAAAATTAATTTAAACACGCTGCATTGTTCTTTCTAGTGACCAGAAGCCAATTATAGTCCTTCCTAAATTTGTGAATTTTTCTTTACTCACCTGCTCATTTAAAATAGGAAGATAAACGAGAAAATGCCAAAAACATATTTAATATGGAAGATCATCATTTAAAAAAATCACTTAACAGCTACTGTAATATTCTAAAAAAAATCCAGGAATGCGAGAAATTTTTGAGTTTAAGATAAACTAACTGGTAATAATTAATGTATAAGCTGGAAATTTAAAGCACACTTAGGCACATACATAAAAAGCTATGTTATCCACAATTCACTCTGATTTATCTGGTATTATAAAGTTCTTGAAACATGCCCAATATACTCATTAATAACTACCTGGTTCGTTCTTCATTTAAAAAAACTGAAAATTAAGGATAGCAATTACTTCTCACTTAAAAGCATTTCAAAATATGAAATAACATGTGGAAATAAATGTTTTCTGAGAAGTATCAAAAGCCAATTTTTTTGCCTAATTTAGGCAAGGCTCAAGAACTGATACCCTGCAAAGAACATCGAGGGTATACAACTAGGTATTAAAAATCTCAAACATGACATGGCCCTAAGCTGCCTGAAAATATCTATTTTCAAGAGAATTCCAACCTAAAAAATGAATTTAATTCTCTCTCACCATGGTATATACATATTAGAAGAAACACTAGCAAATTAGAAGGCTTGGGGTCCAGAATAAATTTGCCACCTAACTGGGTATGTGACAATCTGGCATCCATTCATGCATCAGGTATTTCTGAGAGCTTATTATGTGCCAGACACTGGACACAGCAGTGAAGGAAACAGCAAAAATCCCTGCCCTTATGACACATTCTAATGACTCACTTAATCTCAAAAAATATTTCAGTTTTTTCCCCTAAGACAATGGATTTCATATTTAAGGGTACCTTCAAATCTTTAAAAATAAAATCCATATTACATTTCTGCATCCAGAAAAGCAAGGGGCATAATCTGAAATCCCCTCTTGCCATTGGCTAACAGTTTTTGTTGTGTCATCATATTCAGACAGCAAACTGAAGAAAATAAGTAATTGACACTCTTGATAGACTTACTTAAATTCGCTAATTCTGGTTTATACAATCTAGAGGAAATATGAGCCTTATTGGCCTATTACTCGGTAACTAAACTTCCTTGGATGAGATCCAAGAAAGAAGCAAAACAATCTTATGAGAAATTTCTCCATATAATGATTTTATAGATACTTCCATTATTCAAGTCTATAAAAATATAAGACTGCCTAGTTAATCAACTAATCAGGTTATCTTTTCCTGAAGTGCTTGCTGCAATACAGATAGTCAGAAATCCACATTGTGCATTCAAATCTGGTTCCTGAGACTAATATTAAAATTTTTATTTATCATTAAAATGTATTTTTCCCCATAATAAAATTGGCCTGACAGTTCTCAAGCATAACTCCTCAACTCCCAAATGGTAAGTTTTTAAAATGTCTCATGTATTCATTTTTCCCAGATAAACTCTAGAATCACAAATTACATTTCCGCTAAGACTGAAACAACACTCACTTTAAATATCCCTTCCCTCACAGGCACCTATAGAGACACCAAAAGGGATCCTGGATATGAGGCTGCAGCTTCTAATCTCTGAGCATCATTCCCAGATGAGAAACTGACTTAAGTATCTAAAAAAAAAAAAAAAAAAAAAAGGATATCCCACTAAAAGAGACTCTCACTTATTTTCAACTTACAAAGTATGTTCAAAGTTTGCCAAAGCAAGCTAACTCCATCCAACCTCAAAAGACAGTATAAGCAGCAGTCCTCAATCATGCTAATCTCGAATATCTGATTGTTAGCCTAAAATGTCGTTTACTGTATTTGTGTTTACTTTTATGGTGTTTTAAGGATATGAGCACCACCCTCAGATCTAATAAGCCCAAATACAGAAGTGTTGAAATTGTTAGCGATAAGAGATGATGGAACAGAAAACAGAATGACTTTTAACATAAAATACATATAAGATACACAGGAATTATTTTTCTATTTTCTACAGTAATCTGACTGTAAGAACTAGATTCTCAACTAAGCTATATCAAATACTAAATTGCTAAAGGAAACCTTAATGCATCCATTTATATTTTAAAAGCCTCATATCAATAAACTTGATTTATATTTTAGAATTCAATAAATGGGAAGACTTTGATAAAACTGAAATTACCTGTAACTTAGAAGAATCATTATTGTAAAATATTATCTATTTAACTCTCCTGCTGTTCACCTTTTAGACAGAACCCTCATTACTGGCAGCTAGATACAATGGGAAAAAAAGATCAGGCTTTGGAACCTGGAAGACATGGGTTTGAACTCTGGTGCACCACACCCTGAACACAAATTTTCTGAACCTATTTTTTCATCTCTAAAGTGGGAATATTAATCCCTACCTTAAAGGAGTGTTATAATTATTAGTGAAAATAGATGTAAAGCAGCTTACATTTAATAGGAACTGAAGAAACTTTAGCTGTTATTATTTTATTACTCATAAGCTCATCCAAGAGAAGATATAAGAAAGAACATGACAAAATAAGTTAGCGCCCGGGTTACGTTTGGGCGCTAAAACAAAATAAAAACACACACCCTGATAGTTCAAGTGAAACTCTAGGCTAAACTTTTTGTTCACACTTTAGATAAAAAAGATAATATTGTAACCACTCTTTATACACATATAAAATCCAGAATTACAGGTCTACTTAGTTTGGAGCTAAATAAAAATGAAAGATTTTTAGCATACAATAAAACAGATAATTTTATGAATAGGTGAGATGATTTCACCACTGGAGAAAAATGACAAAACTAAGATTTAAAAATGCTTATGAAAGGATATTAAAAGATTCCTACCTTTAAACCGACTGCTATAAGATCTGTAACAACACTGTATGGAAAAAGTAAAGAGAAAATGGAAAACAAAGTTAGGGAACAAGTTTTTAAAAGACAGAGATAAGATTAAAGAAAAAAGAAAAGACATTATAATAACAAATAATAAAAATAAGAATGTGATGAGTTATGAAACATTAATACAAAGAAAAGTGAATGGGACAGTCTAGCAACAGCAGAGTATAAAAGCAAAGTTTTAATAGCAATGTAAGAAACAAAAAATAAATCAAATTCTCTTTTAGTATTTAGAAAAATATAATTGTGCTTCAATAAAATGAGTATGTGTTTATCCATTTACCTCTATTTAACAAATTCAAACCAAAACTTACAATCACTAAAGTTCATTCCTCTAAATCACTGGTATGATTATCGTATCTAAAGTTTTAAATGAAACAAGACCAGGGAGTGGATTTTACAGAAAATAGAAGATAGCTTGCAAATTTGTATCTACCCCCCAAATGGCTCATCAAAATATAGCTAAGGCATCTCTCAGAATTAAAATACAAATATCAAACTTCAGATATCAAAAATTTTGAAGATCTGCTTAAAAAAATTCTACCACATCAAAACTATGTCTAAGTATAAATTACCTCAGAAGAAAATGAACACATACACACACACACACAAGACAGCTGGGATTTGAGGAAGAACTAGAAAGGTATGTTGACTGGCGGTTTGTTATTTGTTAACACCCAAAATAATGAAAAAGGACCTTTTTCAGGCTGTGGGAAAATGTAAAAATTTAATTAGTCTTCTGAAACCATCAATTAACTGTGTTCAAAACCATAATCCCTCAATAACGAGATGTAAATCCATCTCTTCTAACCCCAAAGAAACTGTCCTCAATTAAGTTTAACTCCATATCTCCTAAAAGAAAGCTATAACAAAATTCTACGTATCATTAAATCATTACTTAATAAAAGTAAACAAATTTATGACTGTTTAATGATGTAAAATTTAATTGTTTCAAGCAATAACATGTAGATTAAAATTTTTTCCTTAGACTTTTGAAACTTAAATTTCATTTGTCTGAAATTTAAGTGTGATAAATAACTCTATCATTTGTGCATAAAAAATAAGATTGTGTAATATACTATGGTATTGGTCCTGATGAAGAGAGCAAATCATGCTCCTATCTGAACTCCCAAATGAACTTACCTTCCACTATGCCTTATTGACCCACATATCTAAACCAATAAACTCATTGTCAGCTTTCAAACCACATTTAGGGAGAAGAGAGTTAACTTCTTAAACACTATCCAAAAGAGTAAGTTTGCAAATCACAGGTGTCTAAGAGTTTAACAGCCAAGACTCATAATCCAACAGTACTCTTTATTATCACTATAAAATTTCCAATACAAAAAGCTAGCCTGGTTCCAAATCCCAAGTCAAACCGTCTAACGACAATTCACTACACATAATGAAATACTAATTTCACAGCCTTTCTCAACTGAAGCAGGGCATAATTACACAAATAATTAAAATAGCAAAAATTTGCCCACGTTTAAAGTGTAATTGAAAAAGGTGGTTTGAAATGAGTCTAACAATGATCTCAGCGAAGCTTCAATTGAACAATAAAAGTAGCTTCAGTTAAATTTTTAAAAATACTTGAAAGAACATCGCGACCATAAATGAAATCTAAAACTGCACTTTGTCTAACGTCTATAGCCATGTGCAATCTTGCAATCTGCATTCAAATGAGTTAACCCAATGTATCGTATAGAATTACTATTACGAACTAGGATAAATAAAATCTAATGAAGGCAAAAATTGTTTGAAAATTCCATCGTCTTTACACAGCATGACAACAATCATACGGTAACATCTACGCAGCTTTTCTGTTCAAGCAAGTTCCATATATCCCACCACCAAGAGGTTTGCAGAAATCCAGTCATCAAAATCAAGCAAAGGGCCAAACTCTCAAGTGCATAATGAAAATAAATGGATTTGCAGGCTCTAATAGAGCTAGAGGTTTTGTTTTCTTTTTAATCTTGAAGCAGATGTACTACGATCTTCAATTAATTCACCAAGATCCTAATCTAGATGTTTCCTTAATCATTCAAAATTCTGTCTGGTCCCATCCCATATTCCCGGTCCCCGGAGAAATATTTACATCGGTGATTCTAAATCTTTTCATTTTGGTCACAGACCTCATTAACTTTTAGAGCGTTTAAAGCTCCCGGAAAAATTGCACGTATACAGTATTTTGCATACAGCGCAGGGAATTCACGAAGTTTCTTTAGAGGGGAGGTGGTGGGGGGGCACGTCCATGGTCACCAAGTCCAGACGCCCGGTACGGTAATCGTTAACAGAGCTCACAGCACAAGCCCGCGGCGGGAGCCCCGGCAGTACCGAGACCCCGCGT